TGTTACCGGCAAGTCACTTTACTCATACCGTAATGCATGATCCCGTGACCAACCACTTAGTCACTTTGAGCTCATTATGATGATGCATTACCGAGTGGGCCCAGAGATACCTCTCCGTCATACAGAGTGACAAATCCCAGTCTCGATCCGTGTCAACCCAACAGACACTTTCGGAGATACCTGTGGTATACCTTTATAGTCACCCAGTTACGTTGTGACTTTTGGCACACCCAAAGCACTCTTACGGCATCTGGGAGTTACACGATCTCATGGTCTAAGGAAATGATACTTGACATCGAAAAAGCTCTAGCAAACGAACTATACGATCTTGTGCTATGCTTAGGATTGGGTCTTGTCCATCACATCATTCTCCCAATGATGTGATCCTGTTATCAATGACATCCAATGTCCATGGTCAGGAAACCGTGACCATCTATTGATAAACGAGCTAGTCAACTAGAGGCTCACTAGGGACATGTTGTGGTCTATGTATTCACGCATGTATTATGATTTCTGGATAAAACAATTATAGCATGAATAAAAGACAATTATCATGAACAAGGAAATATAATAATAACCATTTTATTATTGCCTCTAGGGCATATTTCCAATACTAATGTCGAATGCCCATCCCAGCCACATGCCGGGAATGGGACACGCACCGGTCCGGTGCACTCACCGAGGCTACCGCCGCCGTCATCCACCTAACCATCTTCAGAGCAGGTGCTGACGCAAAGACCTTGCGAGGTCAGCTATCGACGCCACCATGGCGCCAGACAACGCCACCACCCTGCGTGAGGCCATCATGCCACGTCCACCGCCGAGACCCCGCTGCTCCATGCCGCCGAAACCCGCCGTCGTCAACGCGAGAGAAGGCACGCCACACCACCTCACGCCTCTTCCATCCGGCGCCGCTCCACAAACGATGCCCCCAAGAGGGAACACGACAATACAGTGCCGCCATCGTCCGATCCGATGATCTTAGGATTTCTCCCGGAGCGGCACGAGCAGGTCGACCATAGTTGCTTGACGACGCCTTCATCAAAGTAACAACGTAGACGCCGCCATTTCCCACCATGACTGAAGTCGGCTCGGTTTTCACCGGCGACTATGCTTCATTTCAGAGGTATTCCTCCTAATTTATATGCTTGCCGAAGGAGATCCAGCGAGGAGCTCAAATGGCTTACCCACAGGGCAAACAGAAAATCCTATGCTACTCTACCTGATTGGGTGCAAACCTTCAGATAAGTAGGGTCATCTCTGCACAGTATTGGCTTTGTTACCTGCTGCCCTGTTGCCTGTTGTTGTACTTTTCTTGTTAGCTAGCTTAGCTTAGATTAGTTTTTTGACCTTTTGTAGCTTTGATTAGACTAGCTTCTTTTCTTTTGGCTGTATGTTTAAACTCGGAAAATTTATAAAAATTACTATGAGAAGAAATTCTCACAATTTTAGGTCAAAAGAAATGAAACATAGGAATAAGCAGTGGCGGATCCAGGACCCAGGCCGGGGGGTCCTGGGCCTGGGGCGTGAGCATGAATTTCTTCGTTGATTGCAGCACATTGTGCGCTGTAGCAGCACTGTAGCTGTACTGTAGCAGCGTAGGGCCCTGGACCTGGCCAAATCCTGCATCCGTCCCTAGGAATAAGGATGTAGGATTGGATTCCATAGGAATTTCATGACCTAGTTCTATGATCCAAAGGACTTCCATAGGGAAAGATTAGAATCCTCCACAATTTCTATAAAATTCCTTCAATCATATTCTTGACATGACGACATCCCAAGTGCCCTATGCGCGGTTCATTGGAGAAGAATGCGTGAAATTTGTATGCAAGATTGGATGAAAGTAAACGTTGATGGAGCAGTGACTAGAATGGGCGACGGCGTGGTGGCGGAGTCATCTTCAGCAATGATCCAGGCGCATTCAGAGGAGCTGCATGCTCTTTTTTTCCCGGCACTCGCTATTGCTGAGGCAACTGAACTACTCCCTCCGTTCTAAAATAGATGACTCAACTTTGTATTAATTTTAGTACAAAATTAATATAAAATTGGGTCATCTATTTTGGAACGTTGGGAGTATTTGCTTGCAGGCAAGCAGTTCAGATGGCAGTGGACCTTAATATTCATTTTTTTTGAGAAAACGCCCTCGAGGCTATTTATTCATTAGTAGGCGAGTTCATATCTGATTGAACATGTTGAATCAGAAAACCATGGATTACATCATAAATGGTGAAGCAAGCAGTAAGATGAAGAGCCTCTGTAGCCAACAGATGTGCTACTACACTGACACTCCTCAGAAACTGAAGCTTGAAACCCCCGTAAAGACAAGAGAAGTGAAGGCATCTCTCTGCAAATATGGTAACCCATTGATCTAGCGTTCCCCGACTGCCACAACGATACCACCTCTTGACAGTCGGTCTCGATCACCACATGTTGGAAGCCGCTTTCAATCGAAAAAAGCGTACCATCCCGACATGCCCTTGCTGAATTCCAAAATACCTTAGCTGGATATCAAAGTATTACTTGGTACTCCCTCCGTTCCAATTTACTCGTTGTGGTTTTAGTTCAAATTTGAACTAAAACCACGACGAGTAAATCGGAATGAAGGGAGTAGGATGGAAGAATGTTACGTAATTTGAACTAAAATCACGACGAGTAAATCGAAACGGAGGGAGTAGGATGGAAGGATGTTACATAAGCAACCTCCACCAAAATACACGAATCTTTGGCTGAACCCGAAGTTTCCAAAGTCGCTTCCAACTGTCTTCTCCACCTGAAGACGATGATGGACTGTCGTTGCTGCTCGATCTGTTTATTGCTGGAATTTTGTCCATTTTGGGCCTAGCCCGGTAGCAGTTTCAGAAATTTCTAATAAATCCTAGAGGCCCACGCAGCCCATTTGTGCAAGGCAAGAGGTGGAACTAAAGTTTAGTCCCACATTGCTAGTTTAGAGGGAGTTGGACCTCTTTATAAGGGAGGCTCCTTCCCCACTTGTATGAGCATGAGAACAAGAGGGACATCCACGCGTGCTCCTCCTTCGCCGCCCGCCTCGCCTCGCCACGACGCGCCACGGGTTGCGGGAATGAGTCGAGCCGATGTCTAAATTTTTGCCACGCACTACGGGTATACGAAAGGTCACTCGGGAGATGGAAAGTTTTTGCTGTAGTGGAGACTAAATGCGAACGCTGCACCCTTCGGCTGTTGTCTGTTCGTTTCATCTCCCTCGGTCCCTTCAGCTCCCGGCGCTGCCCTCTCGCCTCCTTCTCTTGCGCCTATAAAAGGGAGGTCGCTCCTCTCAGCAAGACGCACCAGAACTACTTCTTCCTCTCGCCACCGGTTTCTGAGCACTGCGCTGCTGCTACGATCTTCTCCATCCCGGCTTGCGGCGTGCACCGCAGGTCGGGACAGTAGGCCTCCGAAACCGCACTCTTTGAGTCCTGTACGGGAGAAGGGTGATAAGGTTTTTGGGGAGCGCTCTGCGCGACTACTGGCTGATTCATCACGGACGATCCGGTCTCCGACGACTACTTCCCCGACGACGACTTCTTCCCCGACGTCCACGACCTCCTCGACGACATGGCAGGCGAGGACACCGACCCCAAGTCCAGCGCTTTTGCTGCTGCTGTGCCGTACGTGTTCTTCTCCTTTCTGTTAGAAGTCCTGTTACAGTTCTTGGCTCTAGTTTCTGTCCTACGTATGTTAGATTCTATGTCGTATAAGCAACTTCATCTAGTGACTGTTGTAGATGTGTTTACCTCAAGTTCATATATGCAGACGATGTTTACCTTATCTCTGTCAGATTGCATGACTTGCTTTATATTTGCTATTTTAGTCATGTTTTATCTACTATTTCTGTTAATAAAATCATTCGGTAAATTGCTCATATTTCCAACATTTATTCCTCTCCCACGCCCAGGACCAAATATCATAAAGACTCGTTTTGTGGCGGGGCATTGTGAGGATTGCATCAGCATCGGAAGGTACAGACACCTGACGTATTAACTTAATATTAAGGTGTTGGTGGACCTTAATATTCAGAAACTCCAGGTTGAAATGGACAGCCTGAATGTTGTGAACATGCTCAAAGACCAAACAAAGAACCTTTCTTCTTGAACCAAATCCTTTCTCTTGTTTAAATAAATAAAGTTTGAGTGTGAGTTTAAAAGAAAAGAATAACCATGACCTGATTTTCTTCCTGGAAATAACTGGCAAATTGTAATTTCTGTTGAACCCTTACCCTTTTTCATTTTCCGCACGGTCTTCTGTTGTTTGCTTGATTCTTAATTTTGCCGATGGGTTCTTCATCTCAATAATAACAGTGATTTGTCAATCAAAATCCGTCGTAGTCTAGGTGGTTAGGATACTCGGCTCTCACCCGAGAGACCCGGGTTCAAGTCCCGGCGACGGAAATCCATTTTTTTGCAAACCTACGTCTTTCTCTTTTTCTTTTGCAAGTTTTGTTCTAGTTATGCAGTTTATTCAGGTAAATACTCTGTTCATTCAAAATACAGAGCTAATTCATTTTATTGTCTGATGAATCTATACAACAATTACAATGCCCTGACATCTAGGATTGACATCATCATTCAGATAAGTTTTGTTTTCCACATGGTCAAAAACAGTCAAATTCAAAACAATCAAAGCCTCAGCACTTCAGAATGAAATCGTGCTCGACGACCCCACATTTGCTCGAGAGAAATGGCTCTAGACACTTGAATTAAGCTCTAGGATAATGTTCATAAAATAAACAGGCAAAGTTACAGCTAATGAGTCTCAGCGCAAGGCGCTTGCTCTCAAAGCTACATTTTGCCTCTAGAGCATTAGACATAGTGGGAATAGTTACAACGTACAGAAGAAAAGCAAAACGACGAGCCCTGGAGTTGATCATCACTTGGGCGCGCTTCACCGAACAGGGGAAGAACACCATTGGCATGCACCTCCACCGACCAAACACACGCTAAACGAGGGTGGGGGCGACGACATTATCGCCGACGGTTGGCGACCTACCCTACCAGGACAGCGGTGTGGCCGGTCACTGGCTGGAGAGCTGCGGCAGACTCTAGTTTCGCCCACTTCAGCCTCCGCTTCTCTTCCAACGACGCCTGGTTTTCCTCATCCTCCTTGCACTTGGTTAGGCACGCCGAGAACAGTTCCTCGTCCATCTCCGAGAACATCTTCATCACGTTGGCGGTCAGGTTCAGGACCGCGTGGTTCCAATGGTTCTGGCCGTTCTGTTCTAGCGCCGGAACGATGATGGGCATGATCACTTGCCGGTTTTGTGCCACCAGGCTGATGATGTGGTCATTGTTCCACATGAAGAGTGCTCTTTCAGCAACCTGAAGAAGAAACAGTATCTTATTAAGCCAACAACCATTTGTAATAGAAAATTCAGAGCAAATGTGAGCCAACTAATAAGTGACTAACAGACCATAACCCACAGATGTGTGAACTCATTTGAGTGCTTAATGCCGGCCCAAGTGTCGGCTATTCATGATATTAAGAATATAGTATAATCATTAGGTGATAACATGACGGCCTACTTTGGATATGTTGTCCATTTGTCAACATTAACTTTCAGGGCTTCAGACATCTGTTGCTCATTTCCCATGTCCACACATTCTAATCACAAATATGAGACACATGGAGCCATGGAGGGACCAAAAATAAGCTTAGCTGTTGGGGCCTTTGGGGACTGCTTGATCAATAATGTTATTTTGTTATCATGACCCATTCTGATTGAGTGATGCAAACTTCTTCAGACTTCATCACATAAGCACCTAAATAAATTTAATATGAAAGTGCCTAGTTTAAGTGGCAGAAACAAGTATAGTACATCCAACAATACTGCAACAAGAACATTGGAGAACTCAGAATTACCAAGTTATGTTACTTGGGGCAAGGCAAGTTACCTGGAAGTGTGAACTGTTGATGCACTGAGCTATCCGCCGGAACAACGGAACCATACATTTCTGGAACTCCACCATGCTGGTAGCCTCCAGGATCTCCTCAATCTCACTCAGGAACATCACCTCCTTCTGGCTATTTGTCACAGGCCAATATCTCAGCAGACCAATGATTATCGATCCGGCAAGCTTGGGGTCCTTTTCTAGAAACTGTGTCACGCAGTATGTCAACTGCTGGAGATACACCCCAACTGACTTCGGCTTGTGCAGAGGAATGAGAACTCTCCAAAGAAAGATCTTGTGTTCCTCCTTGAGAGGCAATGCAAAGCCACTGATGACGCTGCCGAACACCTCGAGCAGCTCGGCGATGCCGTTGTGCCGCTGGGTCTCGAACACAAAGTGGTAGAATATGTTGCTGACCGCCTTGCGGATGAAGGGCCGGTGCACCATGAACTTGCCGTAGATCCTGTGGAGGATGGTCTTGAGGGAGTCTCGCTCCCGGGGGTCCTCGGAGTCGAGGAGGTTGAGCAGCCGGACGATGAAGGAGTGGTCGAAGTACTTCTTCCCTATCTTGGCATCCAGGGAGTTGGACCCGATGAACTTGAGCAGCAGCTCGTACACGAGCTGCAGATGGCACCACGCGGGGTCGAACATCGGCTCGTCCTCGTCGCCCTCGCCGCCGGATGAGGAGCCAGCGCCGGACCTGTAGCTCGGGGGGAACACCCGGAAGAGGTTGACGGCGAGCATCCTGGAGCAGGCGGCGATGACGGCCTCCGGGTAGCGGCCGCTGCTGGAGTCGACGAAGTCGATGAGATCCAGCAGCGTCTGCCGCTTGATGTCCTTCTCGGCGGAGCTCTTGGCCGGGTCGGAGAAGTCGAAGACGGCGCAGCAGAGGCCGAGCTTGCTGACGAACAGGTTGTGGCGCTCGGAGCTGGGCACGTCCTTGAAGGCCACGAGCGGCTCGATCCCGGCGACGACGCTGGAGGGGAAGACCGCCGACGACATGCGCTTGATGGTGGAGGCGGAGCGGCCGCCCCCGCCCCCGCCGGCCGGCACGCTGCTGGTGCGCTGTATCGGGTTGCCATTGCCGCCGCCGCTGCACTGGCCCGAGTCGCCGCCGCCGCCGCCGCCCGTGGACTTGGTCCGCGGCAGCTTGCTGAGGAACTGCTTCCACATCTTGGTCCCGCCCGCCCGCCCGTTCGCCGTGGAGCCCCTCACGCCGGCGCCGCCATGGTACGGCCGCAGCAGAGCCTTGGGAGCAGAGCAGAGCCTTGGGAGCAGCAAAGCAGGAGAGGGAGAAGGGTTAGCACACGGTGGAGACGCGGAAGCAGGAGAAGATCTGGGGAGCTCCAGATGCAGCAAACAGTGAACTTTGCAGGAAAGATTTTTCCAAATGCGGGCCAATGCGGGTGAATCTGGACCCAGCGAGCGCGGACCAGGCACGAAGATGACCAAACCGAAGCTCGGGAACCTCGGCCGGGAAAGGGACGCGACAATGGCGGCGGCCACCCACCAGCCACCTACCTCACAGCGCGCAGCAAAGCGCAGCGAAAGCAGATGGCCGCTCCACCCCCCACCAGAACGGCACCGGATCTGGGGCCTCGGCCGCCGGCGCCCTCCGGATCCGTGCGCCGAGACGCGGCGGCGAGCTCGGTCGGCCGGGAGCTCGTGAGGATGGAGGCTTGGGGAAGCGGATCGAAATCTGTGTGCCTGCGCGTGGTCCGCTTCTTCTTCTCGGGAAGAGGAGAGGGAGTGAGGTGGGGGAGCAGACAGGGAGGGAAGGCGTCGCTTGTTCGCTTCCTGCGCGGGCTGTTTTGTTAATACGGGAAACAGTACGGACGTCCTCGTCAGTATATTTTTCAAAGGGGAAAAAAGAAGCATTTGTTGTACCACCGCCACGAGTCAGTCACGATGTCACCGTGTTTGTTTTTTTTTCTAAACACGGTACTAAGAGCAACTCCAACGGGGCGACCCATTTTGTCCGCCGGCGTCCGTTTGGGTCGGCGCGGACACAAAAGACGGCCAAACGCCGACCCAAACGAACGCGCGTCTGCCTGGCGTCCGCATGCCGACCCATTCCCGACACATTTTTTAGTCGGATTTGCGTCGGCACGGAAACGAGACAGACGCCCGTGCGCCTACTCCTCTCCCCGGGCCCGCCGGTCGATGGCAGCCATCATTATCCCCCCCCATTTTCCCCAAAACCCTCCCGCCCGCTCGCACTCCCGCCCCATACCCGACATGGACGACGACCTCAACCTCGACGCAGCCACTTGCCTCGCCTCCCTCACCTCTTCCCGCATGACGACCGCCCCTCCGCCAAAGGCAAGCCTCGTGCCCTGCCCAAGACTGCCGCCGCGCCCAAGCCAAAGAAGGTGCTGACGCTCGAACAACGGGCAAGGGAGTTGGCCAAGAGGAAGGATCGGAGGCACGCCGCGGACGCGAGGGATGAAGTTGCCGCCGTCGCCGCCGCCGCGCAGCAGGAGGTCACCAACGCCCGCGTCGCGGTGGCAACGAGGGAGGCGCTCTATATGCTCGGGTTAAATCCTAGCCAGCATGGCCTCGTCAATGCCGCCGTGGCTGCCACGGCCAGCACCGGCTCATCCGCGTTCCCTCGGATGGTGCTGCCCGACTCCCGCGCGTCAGCTTGCACCCCGATGCCCGGCTTCCATGTGTACCCGCGGGCTTCCCGCCTCTCCGGGGAGTGCTCGTGCGACGTGAACGTGGTGGCGCCTTCTACGCCCGCGCCCACGCCCATGTACCTTAAAGACACACCGGCATTCGATGGCTCGTCATCCGGAGGCGCGAGGAAACGCGCGCGACAGATGCCGCCCGACGTGCTACCTGACGCCCACAACCTGTTCGATGGAATGCCGGCCACCGACGACGAGGACTACATGCAGAACCTCATCTTCGAGGGCGGTGCGCAGGCCGCTGGCTACGATCCCGACGAGACACAAAGCCAGGACGGCCATGGGGCGTTCAAGCCGGGCGCTGGCAATGATCCCGATCAGGCGGCCTTCATGCGTGATCAGGTTGGCATGGACCTGGACAACCTTCCACTTGACCACGAGTTTTCGGACGACTATGGGCAAGAGGAAAAGGACGAGTGTGACATCGAAGTGGAGCCTTTGTTTCAGGACGAGCTCGCCAACCAAGCCGCCGGGCCGAAGCCAAAGCGCAAGAGCAAGCGCACGAAGGCATACACGACGGCCAAGGACAACCTTCTTTGCGAGTGTTGGCGAAACATTGGACAAGACCCCAAGACCGGCGCCGAACAAAAGCATTCAACTTTTTGGATTCATATCCACCGGGAGTTTCATGAGCGCAAGAAGTTTCCTCCTTACCAAATTGTGAGCATGCGCGGGTGAGCCTTCCTTTTTTGTATGCCGGCTTGTGTGCTGGCATGATCACGGGGCCGCGATGGCGTGGTCGAACTCAAGTTCCGCCCCTTTTTGTGTGCTGACATGTGTGCCAGCATGAACTTTGTGGTGATATTTTTTTGAAGCCGGCAATGTATGCCGGTGCTGGCATGGTGCTGGCACGAGACATGGTTCATACATACATAGTGAACCGTTAAAGTTGCTCGTTTAGGTCGTTGCGTTAAAATTGCTCATGGTTCATACATACATAGTGAACCGTTAAAGTTGCTCGTTTAGGTCGTTCCGTTAAAGTTGCTCTAAAGCTCATACATACACACGTACACACACGCCCTACCTCTGTGAGCATCTTCGAAGAACCGGAGTCGACATATTATTCTAAAGTTGATGAAGTCGTCACAGACCCGTCATAGTGAACAGAAACGTCTTCTTTCACTAAAAACAGATCCTGACGCTACTGCAACAAATACAGAACAATACGAGCACCCTCAAATCTTAAAACTGAAGGCCGAGGAAACCACCGAACACAGGCTGTTTTGTTTGTTTGTTTGGTTGGCTCGTAGGGGTAGGTAGGAGTAGGAAACTGCAGATTACAAACCGAATCTGGGCCTTTCTGCAAAGCCGGGATCCCCGGCCGGACCTACGAGCAGATTTGGTCGCCGGGCGATAATTAGTAACTGGCCCAGCTTCAGTCTTAACAAATCAGCCGAAATAATTGTATAGAAAAGCAGTTCAAAAAACCTGTGAGTAGAGTAGACTGGTGTGAATGGTAAGAGAGAATAATGTGCGAGTGGGCTCCGGCTCCTTTCAATCAGAGCCCGCCCATGCCCATGCCACCACTGTGCTTTAATTCGAACGCCGCGGTCAGGTCACGGGCGGGGCGGCCAGAGCCCTCCGATGGGTACGAGGCAGATGGACGGCCGTGTGCTTGTCCTCCGGTGAGGCAGGGCCGTGCGTGAGGGTGACGTGCACGGGCTCGCCGGAGGGGAGGAGCGGACCACCGCCCGCCGCGTCGCTGTCTCGCGGCGGGGGACCGCTGTGGGGTGAGGTCACGCGCCACGTACTCCTGTTGCCGCCTGGTGAAGAGGAGAGGAGGATGGCGTTGAGCTTTTTTACTGCTGCTACGGATCGGCTCTGGTCCTGGCCCGACGTACGTTGCGCCGACGATATGTGGTCATTTGCGCCGCGTGGTACGTTTGTTTGTCAAGCGTACTGCGTGGGCGGCTCTTTGGTGCGTCGTGACGTCGCCGCTGCACACAAAACGCACGTACACAAAAGTGCTTGCGTACTGCTTAAGAACGTCGGTAGTTTAGTGATTAATAAGCAACAAACTCATGCAATGTCGGCCGGAACAGAATGAGAAACACAAGGATTCACGAAATGCAAACAGGACTTATCTAATGCATGAGCAAACATGCCAAACAGATACCGAGCTCCATGGAGGCCTTAATTTAAAGAAAAACAAAATCAAGATTCCAACCTTTTCGTTTAAAAAAATTTCCGAAAACAATTACGAGCCCACACGTGTGGGCGTTTGCATCTCGCCCACACGCGTGGATCCGCGTCTGTTCGTGAGCGCACGAATCTTGGCATGTTTTTTTTAGCATCAGTACAGACACAAGCGCTCATATGCACGCGCATACACTCACCTCTATGAACGCACACACGCACACCCTACCCCTGTGAGCGTCTCCGAGAGACTGAGCCGACATATCATCTTGAGATTTACGAAGCCACCGTAGGCGCCTCGTCGTTGACGGGAACGTCTCCTCCCACTGAAAGCGCATCGCCGGAAATCCTGAAATAAATCCAGAAATAATGCGAGCATCAGGATTTGAACCCTGGTGGGTTGGGGATACCAGTGTCCATCTAACCATCTCAACCACAGGTTGATTCGCATCTTGGCATGTTTCTAGTGCCACGTATGATTGGCGTGGTGTGTGGGCGTTCACCCGGTCGCCCACACGGCCGTTTCACCACACGGGAGGGGCTGGTGTGTAGGGGTTCAGCAGTTCGGCAACACACCACTTTCCATGCATGCACAAGGGCTAGTGTGTGGGCATTTGCCATCTCGCCTACACGCCCGTCTTCTCTCCCACACCCAAACTGCTAGTTGCCATATGTTTTGCATCGCAGATGGCAACTGCCCTAGTGTGCTTTATAAGCAGGTGGCAACTCTCTTTTTACCCGAGTTGCCATGTGTTTTAAGGGTACACGTCAACTGCCTAGTGTGCACGTAAGCAGATGACAACTCTCTCTTTACCGAGTTGCCATGTGTTTTTGCATGCTACATGGCAACTGCCTTAACGTACACGTAAGCAGATGACAACTCGTCATTTTTACATGGCAACTGCCCTAGCATATTTGTGAGCACATGATAACTCTCTCAACTGCCTAGTGTTAGTATGTGGCAACTCCTAAAGTTTTGAAATCATGGCAACTATAGCAGACCAGACCATACATGGCAACTGCAGTTGTCCAACATGGCAACCGTAGTTCAGCGACATGGCAACTGCAGTTAAACGAACATGGACGAGGGTCTGGACCATGGCAACTGCGGGCGCACGGTGACTGTCACGCGTGGCGTGCGGGACCACGAGGTACGAGGCCTGACATATGGGGCGTGTGGGCGTTATCTACTTCGCCCACACGCACGCGCGTGAGAGGATCGGGAGGGAAAAAAGAGATGTGTGGGCATTACTTGTTTTGCCCACACGTAGATGTGTGGGCTGTTCCTCTTATACACCACACAAAATGTGTGGTCAATCTCTCTAATGCCCACACGTGTGGCATTTA